TCGAGTACGGCTGACGCGAGGCGGCCCAGCCAACCAGCGCGCGAAGCCCAGTTCCGCTCATTGGCTCGATCGCCTCGCGCCAGCCGAGCTCGCCTCTCATTGGTCACTGTTTTTCGTTAATAACTCGTTAACGGTGCCTCGGAGAAAATTTTTGTAAAGGAAAAAGTTGCTTCAAATGGCCTGAGGAACCCGCCACTTTCGGATTGCGAGACATTTTTGGCCCCTGTATATACAGACAGAATATACAGTATCAGACTCTGTACAGTACATATCAGACTCTGCCGTCCAGAGAAATAGCCTCGCGCAGAATTCAGCCGTACCTAAAAGGTTAAAGAAAGCTCATTGTACTTTAACAATGTTCATTTGATTGAAGACGCATTTTCTTGTAGACCACAAATTCTAACGCAGTTTGATGTATTTAATGGATCTAACAACAAATTGTTTTTCGTACAAAATTGGAGTAACCGTTCTTAAAAAGAACGTCTAACATGATTTTTGGTGCAGGAAGTAGAGAGAGAGAGAGAGAGAGAGAGAGAGAGAGAGATGATAAATAAGAAATTATTCTTATTTGTCGATTGTTCGCCTACATTGTCTAACATGATTTTTGGTGCAGGAAGTAGAGATGATAAATAAGAAATTATTCTTATATAAATTATTCTCGTATAAATAAGAAATTATTCTTATTTATCATCTACTTCCTGCACCAAAAATCATTTTAAACAATGTAGACGAACGATCGGCAAACAAGCAGAGTAAAAAAATCTACGAAAACGGAGTGCGAAACAGAAGTTCGAAACTTCGATTTCGTCAAGGGATCCACGGGTAAGGAATAACGTTATCCATGGGACGAACATGCCTACGAGGTGTCTTTACATCGATGTAATGCCGACGAGCGGTGATATCTCTTCGGGAGAAAATTATTTCTAGCAACCGATTATGGAAATTGATAGCTTCGCGAAATTGCTGTTTCGCGACCGCGGACGCGATCGTGTCCACTCCGTAATGTATTCACCGCTTCAATCGTAAGCAAGAAAGTTTCTTGCGCACACGCTCGCTCGATTTAATTCGATCGTGACTTTACCGGATGCTTCGAGGGTCCTTTAATGATCCTTAACGACGCTGCCTACTGTACGCAAGTGCTGTCACGGGTTCAAGTAACTCACACTTGCTCCGTTGGCACCGTTCATTGTCTGCGGATTACATTTTTCTCTTTGCGACACGCCGCCGCGACGAGAATGGCGTATGTTGGTTAGCGTCTCTCGAAAGACGAGAGAAAAGGATGCTGTCGTGTCCGGGAGACGCTTGAACCGCGTTCGAGAACAATTTATTTTAGAGGAAACAAGGGAAATTTATTGTTCGAGGAGCTGCGTGAAACAGTGTGTTCTGTTTTTCTCTCAGCAAACGTTTATGAACGATATAAAATTCGAGAGAACTTGTATGAATATCATAAAAGTGAGAAAAATTTGTTTTTAACGAGAGAGTTAATGATATTTACTCTGATGTTTGTTGATGGTTCGCTTAGACCAGGGGTGTCAAACTCAAAAGCTAACTTGGGTCAAATAAACAATGCTTAACTTTAGGTGGGCCGCAAAAAAAATCAATGTTCATAGAAATAAATATTTTTATTTTGATTAGTACGTTGTAATAAGCATATATGAAGTTAAATTATTGTTTACGTCCTGATACTTGACATCTCTTCTCTGACACTATCTTTCCTATTTCAGGAGAAATTTGATTGGCCGAGACTACTTTCAAAATTTCTAATTCACATTTCTATTTTATTTTTACTTTGCGTCGGATATATTGACTGGGCTGCAAAAATGTTCATCGCGGGCCGCGAGTTTGACACCCCTGGCTTAGACTGTGTAAAGTGATTCTTGGTGCAGGAAATTCAGGTAATGCAGGAAAAATGATAGATTAGGAATTATGATACAATTTAGAATTATGTGTTCAGATGTATGAACATAAAACAAATAGTCGAGGAAAGTGACAGAACAGTGTGCATTGCTCATCAAAATTCCGTTTAAAAATATAAGATAAGGTAAACATTATGCAATATACTATTACGAGCGTAGCTTTAATCTAACGATTTGCATTGGAACAGACATGTGTACTAGTAAATTGTCAGTACAGTATGTGTACTAGTATATCAGTATAATAGTAAATCATACATATTTCCTTAATGAATAAAAAGTTTGTACCTCTGTGTACACGTACAAATTAGTAATGTAGAATTATAAATAATAAGTAAAAATATATACCTAATGTACGTACTCGTGAAACATTGAATAGCGGAAATTGGAGGCTGCCGTTTGTTTTTGATTAAGCTTTGGAAACCGTAATTAAGGTTCATTTAGCTGCTTCGAATTTTAACAGGAAGTTACAGAAATACAAATAAACACAGCTTATAGAGTAAAACGGGAGAGAAAATGTCGGGAGCAAAACAGAATAACGAGAAATTATGAGGTCGTACATAATTTGTATACTCTCGTTTCTCATTTGATTGAGATATTGACTTTGCTATGGTGGTTTTTCAGGGGCTCTTTGGTGATGTACGACAGCGCTAGCTGTTCGTACGCAGGTGCGCTCGAGTTAAAGGGAGCCTCCGGAGCAGGAGCCGCGGCCGCGGCCGCAGGTGTAACCGCGGCCGGCGTCAAACAGGAGAATTGGCCGTACCGCGGTCTTACCTGCGGTAGCACCTTCCAAAGGCTCAAGGAGAGCGTCGATAAAGCTAAACAGGCTCTGGCAGATCGCGGTGGCTACCTGTCCGGAGCTTTCTCGCCGCCACCACGTGCCAATCCATCCGCCATTTCGCCGACCGCCTCCATCACAGGTAAATTAAACACAAACGTTCTATTGGGTTGGCAACTAAGTAATTGCCGATTTGTTCAATGAAATAAAACGTACGCTTGACTGGCTCTGACAACCGTCGCATCGCCGCAGCGAGAAAATCGATAGATCTCGTAGGCGTAGCAATAGCACTGCGACACTCGTGGCACAGCAAAATTGTGACGCTTGTGGAGAAATTACTGTTCGGAATGCATTCAGGTCACCTGTTTCAACCTCTACCAAGATAATTGCATATGTTAATATCCAAATTGTTCGTTAAAACATGGACTACTTACGATACAGTAAAGATTCGTAGATAATCAACTTCATCCTTAATCTTGTTAACAATCTTGTAACATCATGCCATAAAAGTCTATTAAACTATTGGGTTGGCAACTAAGTAATTGCCGATTTGTTCAATGAAATAACAAATTTCTTTTTACTTGGAACGAAGTTTAATCTGTAATGTATTTTCCATTTTGTTCGATGACCTTTTGCCATCTCTCCGACAACTTGAAAATTCCACGCTCGTAGAAAGTCTGATCCTTTTCGGCCAAAAACTGAGTT